GATCAAGATAAAGTGGAGGTCGAGTTCAGATGGATGCACAAACATTAATGTGGAATTGAACAGACTGGTTATCTCTGAAAGCAATCGTTCTAGTTGACAAAGAACGAATATGATGACCACTTTACTTGCTGACAGTACAAAATGTCAATTGGTGTTAACGGGGGGCTGCCACCATCCCAACCACTTGCAAATGTGATAATTGCTACTTTCATTAATGACAAGTCTCTTTAGTTTTAATTGCGATTTGTATTAATTTTGCACTTTGAGTATTATAATGGTGAGTTTGCTTTCTAGTGTCGACAGCCACAAACAAATGTTGGACCATTGCTTGTAGCCATCCGGATATAATAAACATAAACAAACAGTACATGATATGAGGTTGTAATATAGAACAATTAAGGTTGCCCATGACATAGATATTCTTAAGGCCTCATTTGCTGCTTCTTGCAATGGTTTAATGACCATGTTGTAACCATCCTGATACCAGCATCCAATATAAACATAACATACAATCACCATATAACAGTCCAAGCCAGCAACATGACGAATGGCTTCTTAAATATGGCTAGACAATAACAAAGGAAGTGGAACATTACACGAAGACGTAATTTATCAACATCAGTAAACAAGTACAATCTGTCATATAGGTGTGTTTCTTGACGGAAAGAATTTACATTACATGCACTAAACGGCCATAGCTGAATAATTAAAAAGGAAATCCATTCCCTTTAACCGATACGACGCGACGCCAACTCTCAAAACCGAGGCCATTGACGCATATGATTGGTCATAATCTAATCTCGGGAGATCTCGCCGGCACAATTGCTTCTTTTGTTGTGTGTAAGTGATATCGTAATTTAGTCTCTCAATAGTTTTTGGAAGGGTGGTTTTGACCTTCAGTTCACCCGATCATGTTGTCATAAAGGTCATCCACTTCTCAAACAGTTGTCCAGTAAACATTATCTGACGCGACACAGTGTAAAACTTGAATTGATTGTAGTCAAATATGGTAGAAATGATGGTGAGCGTGAGAGAAATCAATTAAAAACATGAGGGGTTTAATTACAGTGTTCATTTCAACAAATAACCGCTGTCAAGTGTCTTTCCTGTGAATCACATGTTATTTCAATATAAGATGCGCCTAACCTCAGACTGATGAACTCTCAATGTCTGTTTCTTTGGCATTGGAACATCAATTCATCATAAATCCATAGTTCAACATACAGTTACACTACCGGGTACCCATTATATGACGTGTCCCACCCTGCCTCCACTTGCACGGCTGCATGTGAGCGCTGGGTTAATCGTTATTCTGCTATGTTATAAAAGTACCTGTGATACAATAAATGCTTTGTTTGTGCGTGCTGCGAATAAAAATCATTAAAATAAAGTGTGTTTGTAACCAACGTGTTTTTGACTGCACGTCCATAAGAAGAGTATTAGGAAAATATGATATAGTATGTAAGACAGGAATCTTCCATTGATACATCATACGTTCCCCAAAGATGCATTATCCCCAAGGCGACACATTCCTGCTCCCAGATATTGTACCACGTGTCGGCCAACCTATCGCATGTCATATCGACATTATATAAGACATTTTTAAAACGCATATGAAGTATACACACAGATTATCCAAATATAAACATGTCGATCATAAAGAGAGTTTTTTTTACATGAATGCATTATCCGAATGTTTCATGCAAGCAGTCTTTAGTTTGAAGTACGTAAGTATTCAGAGACCTTCAAAGGCATACATTAGAGGAATATGTGGTCGGAACTGCCACAGTGTTTTTGATGGTTTATTAATGGAAGGTTTGGGATCTTGGAGCATGCACAGCGGCCTACTCTCGGGCGTGGTAACTCATAAACACACAATCTAAATACCGTATATGTAATTCTAGCCACAAACTGAAAATACGAGCGATTGAGGTTTTGACATACTGTGTACACACATATATACATTGCCTGTGTGGGTGTCGGACGTTTGGCTTAGAAACTCTTTACCAGCGTTGACATTCTTCAGTATCATATGGAATATCACTTTTGTTGGCAGCTACAGTTGAGGGTTCGTTATTTATTCTTCAATCACATTACGACATGCACATATCAGCTGTTATGTTGGCGTCCATATTCTTAAGTACGCCAACAAGCCAAACATAGAATTGGAAGGTCTACGATTCCATGCCCTGAGTTGATCTTACCAAACAAGGAGCTTTAGTTCCTCATTTAATTACATCATGGAACAAATTTCATCAATTTCCAATAACGACAACTTCCAATCCGTACGGGGTGGTGGGGTTGCATAGCGGTTGAAGCGTTCGCTAGCTACGCTGAAGAAACAGGTTCGATTCCCCACATGGGCACATTGTGTGAAGCCTATTTCTGGTGTTCCCCGCCGTGATATTGCTGGAATAGTGCTAAACACGGCGCAAAACTCACTCACTCCAGTCCGGTTCATCGAAATCGAAACACATCCGCTTCATGGCAGTTTGGAACTTATACTAAATAGCTGAGGTGTTTCAAATATGTTATTGTTCAAAGCAGTGCCAAATTAAACCGATGTTGCAACTCTTCATGGCTGAACGTGAAATATGTTTTCAATCATGAGAATGTGTTCAGCCAGCACGTACACGGGGCGACTTCACCGTGGAGAGGTGGATCGAGACACAGAACCAGTTGTGGGAGATTCTGTAATGCTATACCACCGCTATACCACCTCTATACCACCTCTATACCACCGCTATACCACCGCTATACCACCGCTATACCGCCGCTATACCGCCGCTATACCGCCGCTATACCGCCGCTATACCACCGCTATACCACCGCTATACCGCCGCTATACCGCCGCTATACCACCGCTATACCGCCGCTATACCACCGCTATACCACCGCTATACCACCGCTATACCACCGCTATACCGCCGCTATACCACCGCTATACCACCGCTATACCGCCTCACTACGTCAAGCAAACAAAGCTCAGGGAAACTAAAATTCCTAGATAAAAATATTAAATTTAAAAACTCTGTTATGAGAAAACGACCTATTTAATCAAAAGTGCATACACGTTTCTGATTAAACTTCACATGAGCGTTCGATAAGGATAACATAAATCCTAACACAACACTGACCACATTAACTGCTGCACACACACACACACACACACACACACACACACACACACACACGCACGCACGCACACACGCACGCGCGCACACGCACACACACACATACACACATCCGATTCTTTCATAATACTATGTTTCGCGAGATGCCATGTCAAACTTACTATGACAGTTTGAAACAATAATCTAGTCTCTAACATGTTTTGAGTGGTATATGTGTTTACGTTGTGCCAGTCACTGTAACAGGTTCAGCTTTTCTGCACACGTTATCTCCAAGCGACGTATGTCGGTCTTTGATGCCTTTAATGACGCCAATTAGAGCTTTGGGGGCTTGAACACTGCTCTGTGGAGACGAGGATCGGATACATATACTGAGAGGGTCGCCACGACAGGATGCTGCATGTCATAACCTTTCTTCAAAAATGCATTTGGGAAGTAGAAACTTCAAGTCAGAGAACAGCTGCGTGTGTTTCCAATGACTGCAGTGATATTACACTCGTCAGGGGGTGAATGAAATCATTCTGCTAAGCATTCCTAGAAGTATCCTCATCGCAGGGATCCGTGCATTCTCAGCTCTTAAAGCCAAGGTCGTTTTCATTCTCTCGTGATTCAGTTTGTCCAACCTGCCCCAAGCGGAATATTTCCCACTTTAGAATACAGCGTTTGATGCTCTGTTCTGATAGGCATGATGTAAAATATGGAGTGGAGCCTTGGAGTCTGGAGTATGGAGTCTGGAGTATAAGTTCACCTGCCACTTCTGTAAATACTGATTACTGTTTAGAATAGGCCATTTCCCACTTCCCAGTTGTCATTTATACCTCCGGCATCACCGGTTTCAAAAGTACTACAAATTAATATATATGCTAAAATACCTAAAGTTTCTACAAATATATTATTACTTTATATTATATGTGTAGCTAATAGGATATTGCCACTGTCCCTTCAAGGTATGCTGTGCAATAAATATCTTATCTTACGCATCTTATAGAGATTAGTCTTTCTTTTTTACAGCTCTCGTAGAAATGTTTGTTAATGCTTGTCAATTTACTCCAAACTTATTAATAAATCGTCACAAATTCAAACTCTGTGCAATTATACTTCATTTGTAGACAGCAACGTAATCGAGTTTGAAAAATGTTTACATGGCAATCCTCAGTAGCACTGGTTTAGCTCTCTGACATTCTGAGAGCAGATTGTATCAGTGATGTGTTACTTCTAATCTGTCACATTCCTATGGACTGCCAATACATAACCCGACAGAAAGTCAAGATTTTCGAAGCCCCAGAGAGCTGATGAAACTCACTAATAATCAGCTTGCAAAATATTCTGCTGCATTTATTTTTGCTTTTTGTTTGTAAGTTCAAGGATGTAGAGAAATAGCTATTATTGAAAAAAAACAAAAAACAATTATGACACTGGAACAGTTAAGTTACTTTTGCCATTACTGACCAAAAGTCCAGTTATTGAAAAATAGAGTGCTATGTATCTTATGTAATTAATTTCTTTGTTAAGTAAGAAATAAATAATTAATGTAATAATAACTATTATATTTCCTGATGATTAGTATGTCATAGCATAGACCTAATTTATATACTTTATCCTTTACTACGGCTTCCTCAACACAATTTGCAATTACATGTGACAATGTTATGTATGTCGTTTTTGGACAATAAATAATGCCATTATTAATATTTTGTTTATTGGTTGTAAATAATTTACATGCCTCTCCATCCATCCATCCATTCATCTATCCTTAATACAGTTACAGAATGACATTTCTGGAGATGACAGTGCTAATTGATACGTGTATACAAAACGCCTCCTGCCTTCTGATAGAACTGATAACACCAACTAGCTACGCTACAGATGTTGAAACGAATGTACTGGTTTAGCTACCCTTATGATCAAAACAAAACAAACTCGGTCGCCTAAATACTTACATTAAGACTCCATTCCGAGACTCCACTCCAAGGCCCCACTCCAAGACTCCACTCCATGTTTTACAGCATGCCGTTCTGATACGACACATTACCAGGTACGACACATTACCAGACGACACATTACCAGATACGACACATTACCAGATACGACACATTACGAGCATGTGCAATGAGGTACAAGTGAATTGTACATAACTTGGTCTGAACTCGGCAACCTTGCTCCCAGTCGATAATGAATTCAATTGGTGTTTAGCAATTCTATCATTATAATAAGTTTAGATACGCCCACAAGATTGCAAGTCATTCAAAGGGACAACACTTTCTGTATTATTTACATGATCAATGAAAGGAACGCCACACCGTTAAAGACCTAGCCGTTAACACCGTTTCTAACATAATCTGAGAGATATCGCAGCGAGTAGGAGACGGTAGTCAGAAGGGTGGAAAACGCGATATGGCCCTCATACACGAAGGACACGAAAGCGAGAATTTTGAGATTCGAACACATGGTCCGCGGATCCTGACACTTACTATGAACTCCACTCCCCCACCTAATCTTCTTCCTGCTACGTGCCCGTCCCACACAGAGTCAAGATGCCCGATTTCATACCGATCTAACTACCATTCACTGTCGCAAGAACTGGCATTGAAAGGTTTCGGTTGAGAGAGAACCAAGATATTTCATATCGGGGAGACTGTGGACCACGACACCATCAGCCATATCAGCTGATAAATGCCAGTAAGTATGACTTATATGTATGTCGACACCAGCATATCTCAAACAGGCGGACACGATCACATGATCCGTTAATCCACCTGCGGGGATTAACTATGCCTCTAACCTTTGTAAAGGCGCGAAGTAGGTCGCGGGGTATAAGACTTGTCAACAGGCGTGTAGTAATTTGATGAAACAAACTAATGGTTGATTGACATTTAGGGCATCACAGACACAGACCCTTGTCACGTGACTGACATACGCCGCGTGTCATACAGGTAACTGAATTGCCAGGACGGTTGTTTAATCCTAAATACTGCCATGTCCTCATATAGTCTGGTGCCTCATGCTGAGATTCTAAATGGATATGTTTGGTCACATATGTCTGAAATACATCTTCTTATATAAAAACCCTTATCTTTGAGTTACGTACACTGTGTTTCCATGCATAGATAAATACATTTCATCTAGTATTAGTGTTAGTGTTTTAATGAGGGGCCACCCATACTCTTTCCTTGGCGTCCGGCATACCACTTCACTTTGTATTCATCTAGCATCCAGTTTAAGAACTCTTGCACATTAAATGCAGTAAACTGTATCATGCGAGTTTGGAGAAACACATTTGATTGACTGTTTAATAGTCACTTAAATGCGAAGTGAAGAGACTGTAAATATACCCCGAGTCTCGTCTTCGTTAGGACAAACCTAATGCTTTCTCACTTTATAATTTGTTAGAAAACCAATGCCACGAAATCTACCAAACATGATATGAGGGTCTCATCAGACTGTAATGGGATTTAGAAACGTGACATTACAAACAAACCGATGAAGATACTACAATCACGCACGTCTAACAAAGTGTTTGATAGTGCAAGTGGGGTTAATGTTTTGCCTCAACCCCCAGATACCACGAGGTAACCACATCCCCAGACTCTGACAACCTGGGTCCCTGCATTATCTGCCCCCATCGACGAACCGCGCAACGAAAGGCGGTGAAGACAGACAGACAGGCATATGAGAACCCACCCTCGTTGTCTCGCCATCTATGATCAACCATCATTCAGTCCTCTCGCCCACACCATGACGACATACAAGCCTCCATACTTTACAGCAGCCCTCCACATTCCAGGCATACCTTTACGTCCAACTGTTTTAATAAACAGTTATTACTTAAAGACACCAACAGAAATCAACCAATTCTGTCCCAGTCTGGTGACGACAAGCTCAGCCTGGTTGATAGATCACCTCCCCCCTCCCCTTCCGATTGTTTCCCGCCCTTGGTGTTACACAATCACACCATCAGTGTGTGAGATGCATCAGTTCGTCTGGGACCCTGATACCTTACCCTTTGATCTGCCGCCCGACCCCCGGGCCAGAAAAGAGGATTACGACCAGGGTTTTGAATGGAGCTACTTGAGGGAGATACCGCAGTGCAGTGCCGATGGGTGGTACATACCATCATTGTTTTTATGTGTATGTCCCCTTCTAGACAGTCACGTACATAGCACGAGGGCAGTTCCATGGGCGATTAGTGCGCGATAAGGCGTGATATTGAAGTTAATCTTACCACGGTGTTGGGAAAATCGGAATCTCACGCTTAAACCAATCTCTTATGTTCTGGAAAATAATCAAGTGTTTTGGCATCATAAACAGATGTATGTGAATGTTGGTGTTTATAGTTGCCGTCAGCGGGGAATCCCGTTCAACTTGACATATCCCCACCAGCATGTTGGATGCCTTTACCATCGTTTCTTCATACATTCATGGTAGTTTCTTCATACATTTTAAATATTCATTTTGAAAAAGTTTTAAATATAATCTAATCTTTGTCGAATTTCCAGCTATGGGACTCTGTTAAACGGTTTGGATATGCATCAGGTTTAACCACTTCACTTGAGATTTATGATATGGATTAAACTAGATTTAAAGTATGAACATGTGATTATAGTAAACAGTTTGGGGATTAGCTGGTGTATTTGTTATACCCCGAATCTTGTTCCTCATCTTGCGATAAACATCCATAAACTCACAACCCTTATATATTCGTTACTTTATAAGATAAGACAGGAAGTGAACTCCAGAGAAGTTGTGAAATGATGGTACATCTGTTATTGTGTTAAATAGAACATTAACTGTATTTGATGTTTTTATGTTATGGAATGGTTTTATGTCATATTGATAACATATGAAATAACACATGAATATTAATAAACATTTTTTTCATGCATAAGGGGGTGTTAGCAGGTGGGGATTAGCGTTTTTAATCTCTGCCTACAGTCGATTGTTACCCTTATTACCCATTTATTACCCTGAACAATAGTGAGACACACTGAGGTCCTCTAACTGAACCATCACTGCTCCTGTGAGTAATTAACAGACAGTTGCAAGTGTTACTACCCGTCCACGCTAATTACCCCGTTAATCGGTTGCCCACAGCGGGTTGTCTTTAGTTCATCTCGCTAATGAGCCGGATGACAAAATAACGACACGCAAGCCGTAGCTTGTTCACTAGGAAACCTGTAAATCAGAGTATTTTAAAGGCCCCTTCATTATCAAGCCATCTGGGATTCCCTGTAAACAGATACTCAAGGCAACGATAGAAGGGTCACCCAGAACTACAGAACAGGCGTCCAAGACATGACGATGAACGTTTTTAATACTAAATAAAACGATAGTGATTAAAGTTCCGGTAAATGAAACAGAAGCGAGTAAACACTGAACACATTGCAGAATGTTCATCAAGCACGTGAAGACAGACACTTGTCATTATCTGCACGTGCCACTGAAGGTATTGGCACATTGTTTCAGCATCAGTAAAAGAAGCATAACTCTTCTTATAGTCAAAAGGATTCTCCTGAAACACTCCACGGTACAGGTCTGTCTGTCATGTGTTTATGCATCACCGTCAGTCAGTGATGATATCGGATGTTACCAAGAGGTTAACGTTCCATGCCCCACCGGTGACACCCGTCACAACCACATGCAAGGGCAAGTCGTGTGTTCACCCAGAAAAGCACGAGAATATATTATATACATGTATGTCACAATTGTGGCAGCGGTTTCAAGTAAAATCCACAAAAATCATTTCCACATAACCATAGTGAATCTGTGCCCGGAGCAGAACCAACAGGGTCTGCTGCGTATTGACAAAGGTCTGTTCGTCCTTGGCCCCAACAGGCAGGAGAGGAACATAGTTTACCATGTGTTGTGGAGCAGGAACATGTCGATAAAGCAAGTTAATGCCGCACCTGCTAGCATGACCACCACAAAACAGGTAAAGCTCTGCTGGTCCAGCAATTCGTCCACCACTAACGCCACGTCCTCCAATACACCAGTGCTCGCAGCATCGAAACCATCGTCTATGTCGACAGTTCTGTTCTCATTAGAGACCATTCGTTTCATCATGGCGTGTGTACAGACGGGGTCGTTTTGTAGATGATGCTTTTGTGGCCCATAATTGACTTGACGGAGGAACCAGAATGGTCCAGGTGGCATTGCAGCCTCTGCTCGTTACACACTGTTTGGAGAATATCGCAGCGCAACGTTACTAGACGCTGACTCCAATGTGCTACTATGGGTGAGTGAGGGTTTAACGCCGCTTTTAGCAGTATTCCAGTTATATCGTGCCTGTTTAATGTGGGAGAAGATCCCGAGGTGGTGCAGGTCTCAGACGTTTTGACTGCCTGACTGAGTTTGGTTTTACGCCACTTTTAGCAATATTCCAGCAACATTACGGCGGGGGACACCAGAAATGGGCTTCACACATTGTGCCCATGTGGGGATTCGAACCCGGGTCTTCGGCGTGACGAGCCAACGCTTTAACCATTAGGCTACCCCACCGCCCCCAGACGTTTTGAAGTTGATGCACAAATAATGAACTGACAAACCTAAATACATAACCGAGGCGAACGGTGATTCTAACCCAGAATATTAAGCTTATGGCGAACCCAAGGTGAGTAACTCTGCATAGTGAATTGCGTTGCCTGGTACGACTTGCCAAGCAGTGCCCTCGGTACCTATTCAGCATCAACGGTAAACTGACATGTTTGCCTCCGAAGTTTAGTCATTAGCCGTTGAACATCTCGGACGCCGCCTTAACAGAAGTCATCCTGCGCTATCTTAACGGTGCTCTGTAACGGGGGCTCATCTGGGAATAGAACATGGTGTAATTTTGACGAGCATGAGGTACCCACGGGAACAGAAAGAGAAGAGGTAACACAGTAGACTAACTCCTTCAGTATGACAGCAGTGAATATGGTGTTACGGGCTGATTTTTCAGAAGCTCTGAACACTGGCATCCTATGACATTCACACTTTGCTGTACTAGACTCCAAAACAGCCAATATGTCTTCAATGTAATTTTAGCCCCGTCAGTTATAGGTGGCCCCTCAAATGGTGTGATGAGTATAGGGACGTGTCCTTGCCAAAGCTTTGATATACTAACTACCCCTCAAACCCAAACCCAACCACCCCCCACCTTGTGTTGGCTGCGGCAAGTTGAGAGGACATACCGTGGGTTATTTTGACTTCTCATCTGTCATGTGCCATGTTCAGCCTGTGTATGTGAGACACATGACATCCACCTTGTCATGTAGACCCAGCGGTCATGTCATATACCGTTATCTGTCATGTGCACCTTACAGTACGTCACCAAGCCGTCTTCGTCATTAACGTGGTAATATTGTTACACCGTTAATATCTGTTCAAGGACTCTCTGATGGGTTAAAAGCACATTCATTGACACTGGTGCAGCATAGCACACATATTTCCAGTATCGACAAAGAACTACTCGGTGAGAATAGGGTGGACACGCAGAACGAAGCGCTTGTCAGATCTAAATAACGGTATATAACCCTATTCATCATAATCTTTAAATTGCAAAGTAAAGTCTTTCCAGACGTCAGAAGAAGGTCGGTACCGGGTTCCGCAGGGTAATTAGCCAATAAATAACGTAATGGGCGTCGCTGAAAGGGGAGACCACCATTCACCCTATAATATAGTCATCGGTTCTGCTAATTATTAACAACAGGAGGCGATAAATTAATCGTATGATAACATTGTGAATGACTGAGGACGGGGGTGGTTAGGGTGGTCTGAGATGGCTTGGAGTGCGCGGACTTTTATAGAACACCACCAGGAGTAAACGTTGAGACGTTGAAATGTGTGATTAAATACGATTGGCATGCACGCCAGTGTGTGTGGGTTTGGATTTGATGTGAAAGGAACTGTTGTGTTTTGTGTGGGTCTGGTGTTAGTCTAGTTCTGAGACGGGTTCTTTGTGGGTTAATGTGGATCTGGTGTGGATCTAGTGTTCAGAAAGGTTAATCTAGATCCGGTGTGAGGTTGGTGTTCAGAAGGGTTAATCTGGGTCTGGTGTGAGGTTGGTGTCTCAGAAGGGTTAATCTGGGTCTGGTGTGAGGTTGGTGTTCAGAAGGGTTAATCTGGGTCTAATTAATCTGGGTCTGGTGTGAGGTTGGTGTTCAGAAGGGTTAATCTGGGTCTGGTGTGAGGTTGGTGTTCAGAAGGGTTAATCTGGGTCTGGTGTGAGGTTGGTGTTCAGAAGGGTTAATCTGGATCCGGTGTGAGGTTGGTGTTCAGAAGGGTTAATCTGGATCTGGTGTGAGGTTGGTGCTCAGAAGGGTTAATCTGGGTCTGGTGTGAGGTTGGTGTTCAGAAGGGTTAATCTGGATCCGGTGTGAGGTTGGTGTTCAGAAGGGTTAATCTGGGTCTGGTGTGAGGTTGGTGTTCAGAAGGGTTAATCTGGTGTCCGGTGAGAGGTTGGTGTCTCAGAAGGGTTAATCTGGGTCTGGTGTGAGGTTGGTGTTCAGAAGGGTTAATCTGGGTCTGGGTGTGAGGCTGGTGTTCAGAAGGGTTAATCTGGGTCTGGTGTGAGGTTGGTGTTCCAGAAGGGTTAATCTGGATCTGGTGTGAGGTTGGTGTCTGTGAAGGGTTAATCTGGGTCTGGTGTGAGGTTGGTGTTCAGAAGGGTTAATCTGGATCTCGTTGAGGGTTGGTGTCTGAAGGGCTAATCTGGGTCTGGTGTGAGGTTGGTGTTCAGAAGGGTTAATCTGGGTCTGGTGTGAGGTTGGTGTTCTGGGTCTGGTGTGAGGTTGGTGTCTCAGAAGGGTTAATCTGGGTCTGGTGTGAGGTTGGTGTTCAGAAGGGCTGGAAGAAAGGCTTAATCTGGGTCTGGTGTGAGATTGGTGTTCAGAAGGGTTAATCTGGGTCTGGTGTGAGGTTGGTGTTCAGAAGGGTTAATCTGGGTCTGGATCTGGTGTGAGGTTGGTGTTCAGAAGGGTTAATCTGGGTCTGGTGTGAGGTTGGTGTTCAGAAGGGTTAATCTGGGTCTGGTGTGAGGTTGGTGTTCAGAAGGGTTAATCTGGGTCTGGTGTGAGGTTGGTGTTCAGAAGGGTTAATCTGGGTCTGGTGTGAGGTTGGTGTTCAGAAGGGTTAATCTGGGTCTGGTGTGAGGTTGGTGTTCAGAAGGGTTAATCTGGGTCTGGTGTGAGGTTGGTGTTCAGAAGGGTTAATCTGGGTCTGGTGTGAGGCTTGTGCTGAGAAGGGTTAATCTGGGTCTGGTGTGAGGTTGGTGCTCAGAAGGGTTAATGTGGGTCTGGTGCGAGGTTGGTGTTCAGAAGGGTTAATGTGGGTCTGGTGTGAGGTTGGTGTTCAGAAGGGTTAATCTGGGTCTGGTGTGAGGCTTGTGCTGAGAAGGGTTAATCTGGGTCTGGTGTGAGGCTGGTGTTCAGAAGAGTTAATCTGGATCCAGTGTGAGGTTGGTGTTCAGAAGGGTTAATCTGGATTCGTTGAGAGGTTGGTGTTCAGAAGGGTTAATCTGGGTCTGGAGGTTGGTGTTCAGAAGGGTTAATCTGGGTCTGGTGTGAGGTTGGTGTTCAGATGATTAATCTGGGTCCGGTGTTGAGCGGTTGGTGTTGTGGAGGGAGTTTCATGATTGTCAGATGATGCTCAGATGAACAGCTAACTGCTGTGACAGTACAACTGCCATGGTTCCCTCTACACATGTCGTATGTACCCTACACCATCCTGTCTCTCAACAGGACAGCATGTGGCCACCGACGCTGCACAACAACACAATGCCACCCATCTTCTGTGCAGTGCTCAAATTATGGGATTATACATAACATACATGAGGGGTGCAGATGTGAAAACAATGAATACCCACCCAGGGCTGCCATTACTTGTCATAACTATAAGATAAAAAAATAGCATTACAACTGCCATGTGTATCAGCTGCCGCCATTCGTTATATCGTAATCACAGAAATCTCTAAGGTGACCTTATTCCTGGATGTAACGTGTATCAGAGTGTTTCATTAACATAATCTCAGTAAGTTTAACAGCGCTCTGCAATGTTTTAGGCCGGTCAATCGCAAACGTACTTACAGTGTATTAATTCGCCCGGATTTGAGGAGTACTTATTCATACACAGCTTGTTTAATACACCCGAGACGACATTCGCGTGTAGATTTAAACATCTCTGTAATGAATTGCTGGATAAACGTTAAATGTAAACATGGACGCTGTGCATAAATAAATACCAGCGCAAAATCCTTCTGTGATCACAAGAATTCTCTATTAAAGCACAGGCGACTGTACCATTCCGGTTCCGTAAAAGTGTGCTTGTTTATTATGTCATCATTTATATTGTAGATCCCCACAAGAGACAATGGCGGGGTGTTGTACTTGTGTGTTAAGTATGGGCAGTTGAAGCCGTACAGCTCTTGGCGTTTGTGAATCGCGACTTACTAACATATGTACAGTGTACATGCAAGACAGCGATAACACTTGCTAGAACACGCAGTGGTCGATGGTGTCATCCAGCGCTCTGCATGTATGAAGTAACACACAGCACAACCAGACCACTACTGCTGTCGAACTCCCCACAGGATTCAGCCTGGTCCTTTGAGAAATTTCTTGACAGACAATTGGAGTGGGCTCTCTGGCAGAAATACAGAGCGCAGTTAGTGCGTATCAAAACTCGTCACAACTGCCACAAAGCGTTCAGCCTCGGGTAACTGGCCGATTTATGTCAGATTTGCCTGGTCCCGACTCCATCGGATATTTCCACTCAAACTCAGATGTATAAACTGTCTGACTGCGTCGTAAAACAATGTTTTGTCATTCACTTATCCAGTCTGCAGTAACGCTAAACGTTGATAACGGCGCGAACATGTATCCTTCGTGACAACAAATAATGTCTGGTTTCAATTCAAAACTAGTGACGATACACGTGTACTGACGACGTTGATGAAAACTGGTATAGACATAATCCAGTCATATCTCGTGATAGAGCGTAGCTCAGATGTAAGGGAAATCGAAGTCTCACCTAACTATTTGCTCTGTTTTTAATGCTGCATAAGAAGGTTGCACCATGTAAGAATCGAACCAAGACGAGCAAAGGCACTGCCTAGTGGGTTAATACTCGCGTTTGCAGTGTTTTTCTGTCTCACAGTACATGAACCGGATTACTTCCGTTTCCATCCAGCCCTTTCTGTGATGTTAAATAGAGCAGGTCTAACCTTTCCCAAAGTTCTGAAGCTTCCATCTCACTGGGACCCCTTTTCTTAACGGAGGTTTTCGTTTCTATCAAAATTATACTCGTTAATCTACGTCACTTCTCTCAACAGACTGAACTGAATAACGGCATAAGGTTGGTACGGAAGGAGGTGCACTTGATGAGAGGTAATGGCGCGAAATGAACGTACAAAAAGGACGCCCAGCACCTGCTTCAGCATCCGCCAGGTGCGTCTACAATCTGACCATGTCATCAGTGGAGATTCTGTACGATGCAGAGAAATATTTGAGACTCGTAATAGGCCTGTGATCAGCGTTTATGGACAACTGTTGGGGTTGTTGACATGTTTACAGATGCGTCTCTCAGACAGGCCCTCCTACCACCAATACCGGTAAGTACGTGAGACGGAATGTACACCAGTGCCATATGACAGCAGGATTCCTTAATGTCAAGCGCCGGGTGGTTACGGGACCTGGTAACGCGCGACAGTTCAAGTACATGTCCCTTACACGTCAAATATAAGAGAATTTCCATAAATAATACCATTGTGATGTCAAGGAGTCCTTGTTCAACCATTGACATAGAGCAAATATAAAATGCAAATCAGAATCGTAAATACCTTAGAGTGAAAGGCGATGATTGTTTGAAATATTGGCATCACAGTGGTGAGTGGCCTTAAATCAGGTCACAGCATAGATCTCCCACACCCGGAGTACTAGACGGATGAATCGGACTGTCCAGTGTTACACGGCCTATCCGAGATTGTGTACACAAAATATTCATCCCCAAACTATAATTGTCATGTTATTATATGGGTGTTTTCATATTGGCTTGGTTATAGTTTCTTGGCCCGAGGCAATGACTAATACAGCTCGGGCCAAGATGACGAACTTTGGAGCTATAGCAATGCCAGTGTGAAAACACGCATTTAATAACATAATCATTCATTGACTACCTGAACCATGTTGTATCAGCCGAGAAGATCAAAGAAAAGCATTATTAAGCATATGGACAAATTTCAGTGCAAGGAATGCTGTCACGTACAAAAGCCGTATTGGCCTGACAAAGCCGTACTGGTCCATCCAGATCCTGTGTTGTCCCTCAAACCCGTATGGCCCCTCCGATACTTCTGTAAAATGAGGACCAATTTGACCGTATTAGAGACAGTCTATTGAAAACGTAATACTCTACAGTTCTTAACGTACAGTGATTAATGTAAAGACAGCCGTCCAGGGGGGTTGGTAAATGTATTCCCTCGTCATTGTCAAAGTGCGTGAAATTTTGTAAATCCATTTCTTGAGACCCCATCACATTTTGGCATAAATATGTTGTAATGGTTGTTATTGCTCACAGTAATACTCACCATATCAGAGCCAGAAATCATAGCCTTTTTACCGGACTTTGTCATGCATTACACTGTAATGTTTAATTGATCACGCCATGTTCCTCTCATAATGTCTTCCTTGACCGTGACCCGACATATAGCTGCAATATTGCTGAGTGCGGCGTAAAACTAAACTCACTCACTCCTTGACCGTGACTGCGGCCTCTACTCTAAACCCTGATTCAAGGCTTTCTTTGTCAGCCATGGACGTGCTCATGGGGGTCACAGAATTAAGTGCCAAATATTACGGCTGGGACGGGTCCAAATTTTTCTACCCGGGTTGCCCCACCCCCTATTACCCTACCCTACCCGGATACCCGTTATGTTAATTCCTGACATCAAATTTGTAAGAAAGGCCAATACATTTTTCAGCTCGGAGGCTAAAAGTTCGAGTTTTTCAATATCTTGACCATGTATTATATTCAAAAGAAGTGACTGTAATTATTACGGAAGCATAGTAGGGCCACGGTGAAAATGTTTTAGGGGGTCACTATCTCCTACGTAGGACTTAGTATCTCCTACGTAGGACTTAGTATCTCCTACGTAGGACATACTATCTTCTACGTAGGACTTAGTATCTCCTACGTAGGACTTAGTATCACCTACGTAGGACATATTATCTCCTACGTAGGACATACTATCTCCTACGTAGTACTTAATATCTTCTATGTAGGACTTAGTATCTCCTACGTAGGACTTAGTATCTCCTACGTAGGACATACTATCTTCTACGTAGGACTTAGTATCTCCTACGTAGGACTTAGTATCACCTACGTAGGACATATTATCTCCTACGTAGGACATACTATCTCCTACGTAGTACTTAATATCTTCTATGTAGGACTTAGTATCTCCTACGTAGGACTAAGTATCTCCTACGTAGGACATACTATCTCCTACGTCGTACTTAACATATCCTTTTTAAGGATGGTTATTAAGTTGAGAAATGTTTGGCTATGCAGGACGTTTGATAGTTGAAATTGGAGTTAGTGAATATTCATGACACTAACGCAGTGTTACTATACAGCGTTATTGTGTGTGTATTACGTTAGGGTGACGTGGACCCTGTTCTAATTGCAGTTATGGAGGTTTGGGTATGGTTATGTTTAATCTAACATACATACATCTATTCACACACACAAACAAACACACACACACACACACACACACACACACACAGAGAGAGAGAGAGGTGGGTGGGATAGTTGGGGTGAGGTTGTGATATGAAACTCGGGTTATAACACGACCTCCGCAAGTTGTTGCTTGTCTTGATGGGGCTAGGTTGGATCGGATGCAACGCTCGTTTGTGGCTTTTTTCGTAATTGTTTACAGGTTGACTTGACTGGGGTGGACAATTGTTGAGTGCTGCGTAAAACAATACGAAATTCAAAAAGGCAATGAATTGTCATTATATTTGTATAAATATAAGGGGATACGTACACATAGATTGCCACCGATAGTCTAAGTCACGTCTGTACACGCAGATTATGATTCATGTGCAACGACCTCTGAAATATCCAACGCATAATAGTAAAGTCTAACAAAGTGCAACATATAACAGTGAACTAACTGCAACGAGTAATTGTAAACTGAATGCAAGGCAGTAAAGTATAACAGTCGGTCCAACACAGTAATGCGCAACAATTAGTTGAACACATGACTCTAATAGTGAAGGAAACAGTAGACTCTAATAGTAAATTGAAACACACGATAGTAGACTCTAACAGTAAATGAAACACATAACAGTAGACTCTAATAGTGAATGAAACGAATGACTGTAGACTCTCACAGTGACTGAGACAGTGAAACAGGAGACCGTTTCAGATTAATCTATGTAAACGTATATCGATCATCTCCTACAGGAAATATTAAGTACTACGTAGGAGATACTAAGTCTTACGTAGGAGATACTAAGTCCTACGTAAGAGATAGTAAGTCCTACGTAGGAGATACGAAGTCCTACGTAGGAGATACTAAGTCCTACATAGGAGATACTAAGTCCTACGTAGGAGATACTAAGTCCTACGAAGGAAATACTAAGTCCTACGTAGGAGATACCCACTTAGGAGATACTAACTCCTACGTAGGAGATACTAAGTCCTACGTAGGAGATACCCACTTAGGAGATACTAACTCCTACGTAGGAGATACTAAGTCCTACGTAGGAGATATTAAGTCCTACGTAGGAGATACTAAGTCCGACGTAGGAGATATTAAGTCCTACGTAGGAGATACTAAGTCATATGTAGGAGATACCCACTTAGGAGATACTAACTCCTACGTAGGACTTAGTATCTCCTGCGTAGGAGTTAGTATCTCCTAAGTGAGATATTAAGTCCTACGTACGAGATACTAAGTCCTACGTAGGAGATACGAAGTCCTACGTAGGAGATATTGTCCTACGTAGGAGATACTAAGTCCTACGTAGGAGATACTAAGTCCTACGTAGGAGATATTAAGTCCTACGTAGGAGATACTAAGTCATATGTAGGAGATACCCACTTAGGAGATACTAACTCCTACGTAGGAGATACTAAGTCCTACGTAGGAGATATTAAGTCCTACGTAGGAAATACTAAGTCCTACGTAGGAGATACTAAGTCCTACGTAGGACTTAATATCTCCTACTAAGTCCTACGTAGGAGATATTAAGTCTTACGTAGGAGATACTAAGTCCTACGTAGGAGATATTAAGTACTACGTAGGAGATACTAAGTCCTACGTAGGGGATATTAAGTCCTACGTAGGAGATATTAAGTCCTACGTAGGAGATACTAAGTCATATGTAGGAGATACCCACTTAGGAGATACTAACTCCTACGTAGGACTTAGTATCTCCTGCGTAGGAGTTAGTATCTCCTAAGTGAGATATTAAGTCCTACGTACGAGATACTAAGTCCTACGTAGGAGATAAGAAGTCCTACGTAGAAGATATTAAGTCCTACGTAGGAGATACTAAGTCCTACGTAGGAGATACCCACTTAGGAGATACTAACTCCTACGTAGGAGATACTAAGTCCTACGTAGGAGATACCCACTTAGGAGATACTAACTCCTACGTAGGAGATACTAAGTCCTACGTAGGAGATATTAAGTAGATATTAAGTACTACGTAGGAGATAGTAAGACCCGAAAAAAATTTCACCGTGGCCCTACTACGCTTCCGTAAATTATCTCTAAATCAATAAAGACAATACAACTTTTTAATCATAAAAGAATAACATATTACATTGTTTAATCATTTAGTTACATGATCAAAACGGGTCCAGGTAATGAGACGGGTACCCGGGCCCAACTCATTACCCACCCGTCCCGGGTATCCGGGTTACCCGTCCCTGCCCTACCAAACATCCGCGACCTTGTTTTGCTCCCACATGAGACTGACCCAGCGTGATCTAACTGGCGTTACAAATATCACTCTCACTTTGCCCACATACATGCCGCATGGTATCTATCTCTGTCAGATAAAGTAGTAAGATTTCCCCAGGAAGAATTCCAGTCATGTTGTGTTACACAGTAACTGAACATACAACAGTGTGACTCAAGTGGAAACTCACCCACAATTCCATTTGCTATTTCACGTATATGTGTGTACGTACACGTATATATGTTTGCAGATCTGACAT